ATAGAGGTTTTGTACTCAAGAAAAAAAAACATGTCACATAATTAACCCTTAACTAGGAAAAGAGGCGTGTTAAGACAGACGTGTTAAGAGCAAATACTTGTTTTTAAGCTCAAACTTGTATGTCCTCCACAATACACATTATGAATAAAGAAGCAGCGTTCACTGCATTCCCAATATATTTTAGCAGGACCATCTGGTGTGACTGTATATCCAGCTTACCTTTGCGTTGAAAATGATCAAATTCAGATGTCAATGTGAGTGCTTGGTTTGCTGTTACTTGGTTGTCTCTACTCAGTAGGCATCGTGGATTGGTGTCGTCTATGTCGAATGAGAGACAGGACCCGACTGTCAGTGTGCCCTCCCCTAGAAGACATCGCAGGGCACAGATCCTGGGACTCACGGTCGCCGGTCTAACATCCTGGTCATCGTGCCCAGACAAGGCATGGTCAGCATAGACGTCAAAGAAACTAATTATGTCTGTGAGATAACGATCAAAACGTTCTTGTAATATATGATACCAATAACATTCGTAGTAAGACCTTTTTTCATGATGCCATTTGAATTATAAAAAGTCCAGTCATTAAGAAATTTAGAACTCCAATATTTAGTAACATACACATTGCAGGCAATTGACAGATACTTCAATAAAGAAGAATAAAACATTAAGGAATGGTGTTGATTTACAGATGAATAATAGGAAAAGAACATAAGTAGAGGGAATGAGTGTTCTACGTTATATAATGAGTTCATAACAAAAAAATAAATCAGACATTCCATGTGTCCAGCAAGTATGCAACACTCGGCCTCCTGAATTCTTCCATGTCGACCCTCGGATTCTGATACCTATCATTCTGCCTGTCAACATTCCACGACTGTCGACCTACTATGTCTTGACAAACAGATACACAGACTAAAAGCTTGGCCAACAATACTTCCAGGTCACTGTCAGGTAATAGTTTGAACCTTCAAATATGATATATCAATATTATGATCTCAAGCGCTGGCCAAACTCACCTTTCATCTCGTAATGATCGAATCTGTTCTGGTTATCAGGACCAAGAGTTGCTCCAGATGTGTTCTGATTGGCCCTACTGAGCTGACATCTGTGACGTGATCGGTAGTAGTCAAACGACAAGCACTCCCCCTCCGGGACAGTAGCCGTTCCTTCAAGACACTTCTGGGCACACCTTTCAGCAGTCGTCACCCCGCCGATAATTTCGTCATCATGTCCATACAAGGCTTGATTGGAATAGACGTTGAAGAAGTCGGTACACGCTGAAGGGTAGAATATCATCGATAAGTTATGTAATTGAATGTGACGTAATGTCGGCAAAATTGTATGCCTTAGAGTTAATGTTGAAATTTTGAGTTATCTATTCAATTAATTTCAAGTACATAAATCTAGTACTAAATTAACACAATATAAAACATGCGGTAGACAATGACCGCTAAATGATGAGTATGATATCCATGGTGTACATATAATTAACAAGATACAGAGTGTCGCTTCTTTGAATTATCATTTAACCACAGTATTCCATGTCTAGTAGACAAATCGACGTTTGCACGGATCATGCCTTACACGACGTTTAAAATTCTGTACATTGACCCGTTGCACCTTACCTTCACATGTAAACCCATCCCCAATGAACCCTAAAACACAGGTACAAGTGAAAGATCCCACGTTGTTTAAACATGTGGCCTGCGGATCACAGATGACCGGGTATATGTCACACTCATTCACATCTGAAAAAGAAGGGAGAAAAATTGATGAAATCTCCGTGATATTTGTAAACGTTTCATTTAAATAAAACCATTGTGAAGTTCTTGCCGTCCATGCATTTTTTCTCTGACTGCATCAAAGCGACAAACATGAATTTGAAAGAAAATTAATTGGGGGAAGAATTATAGCTAACTTCCTGCCAGTGTCCCCGACGTACGTACTTAGCATTTGGATGTAGCTACAGAAACACAGTGCGGCAAACACACAAACGGACACATTGAAAGCAGCACCTCTTTACACGGAGGTTAAGGCTATATTTCATGAACCTTGTAGCCAGATGTTATTTTCAATTAATTCTGCATAATGGACAGTTGTGAATATGGCAGACATATTTTTGTCACTTGTGACAATGCTTAAGTGTATAGGATGAAGATACGACACGTTCAAGAAAGATGAAACAGCTACCTGTACACGTAACTCCATCCCCAGTGTAGCCTGTATTACAGGTACAGCTGAAGGACCCTGCAGTGTTGGTACATGTCGCTTGGGGGGCACAGTTGTTGCTATTGCTGCTGCATTCGTCGATGTCTAGAGAACAGAACAGTGGTTACACGTTCATGAACGCACTTTATTACCTTCACCAATATAGTTAAGGTTTTTCTGGCGCTTTTCTAGTGTGTATGCATGTATGTACGTACGTATGTATGGAACGTTATGTATGTATGTACGTGTGTTTGTGGTTTAGCATGAAAATTCAAGAAGCTAAACAAGTAAAATCTAAGATTTTATACCTCCGGGCTTTTTATTGTATATTTTTATATAGGGTTTTAAACAAAGAATATATCGAGACCGGACTCCCCTCTGTGTGACGGGTCATATACGTGGACCAGACCGAAAATAGCTTAAACACGCCAAAGGTCAACGGTCGCGACCACTTTCACACTCAAAGGGGTGTTTTGGGGCCACCAAAAGGCACCATTTTTAAGCCCGAAAACACACATACAATAAAAACAAAAGAACATGCATCATCTGCAGCCCAATAGCAAAACATATACCAAGTCTCAAAAGAATCCGTCCACCCAAACGCGAGAAACTCCTGCGAACATGAAAATCTAAATCTCTCACAAAACCCTTCCGCGGAAGGATGTCTCCTCCCCCGGAGGTAATAAGAGTGTAAGCAGGTACACTAACCCTGATCACAGTATGCTCCAGTCCACCCCAGTGTGCACGAGCAGCGGTAGATCCCAGTCCCCTGTGGTCCCGTAGTAAGTGTTGCGTTGTTCTGGCATATGTTCGATGCTAGGAAATACAATACTGTCATGATACGATGCTGTTCCAATTTATAATTTTGAAATAAACAAATAAACAGAACAAGCTCAAAGAAAACAAATTAAATAGATAAATAAAGCTCTCTTGATCTTATAATCCTATACACGGTTTGAACTGCCCATGTGCAGTGTAATGTATTATTATTTCATAATATCATGTGGATAGTATATTAAACCTGAAGGTCCCTGAGACGTAAGTAAAACATCTCTGGACATGGCATCAAGCATGAACTAGAGAAGAACTATTTAAAAGCTAGTGGCATTCTTCTTTGACCTATCTCATGTACAAGCTCAAGCAGTGTACTGGTTTATTAGAACCTTAAACCTATGAATTGGAAGAAAGGAAAACACATACTTACTAGAAACATTGGTGGGCCTAATCATCATAATAGTCTTCATTAAGGAGTATGTGTATGTTTTCCAAGACTTCCAAACAATACCCTGTGCACTGTCGCAGGTAGAAGTGTCGGAACATGCCGTCAGGTACTGTCCGTTTAACATGGCGTATCCACAGCTTGCAGGGTACCACCATCCGCCTTGTCCGTATGTACTTGCACAGTGGCTGCTGCTGTCGTCGTTGTCCTGGTCTTTGGTAGAAAATTCTCTGCCATCGATGCTGTGGCGTCCATTTTCGTCAGCTAGAGTCAAGTCGTCACCAGCATCCCCGGTGTACCCGCTAAGAGTTGCCTGGTAGTTGCCGCTTGCGCCTCCTACAGAAAACACGCTGTACCGAGCATGTCGAGAGTGTCCTTCCCAATCTTCCAAGTAGACATACAACTCGTTTTGCTTTTGTGTTGTTAGATCGTGTATGGTTCCCAATCCCGCCCAGAATTCTTCAGTAGGATTGCCAAATTCCTGCTCGTACTCAGTCCAAGTCTTGTCAAACGGCACGGACCCGTCCTGTCGCCGCTGTATGACCGTCCATCCGCCGGCATCAGTGTCCATGTCACAGTACACATGGAATGGCTGGGGGTAGCCGACAATATAATCCCTACTGGTTTGGAACCCTTCTGCTAAGAGATCTCCGCAGTCTTGAGGGGTGAAAATTTCTTAAAAAAGAAGAAAGAAATGAAACATTAGTTTATTAATGAGAAGGCCCACAGGCTTATGTTTGTCTATTTGTTTGCAAGAAACAAGAACTTCATTGCACGACAATTGCACATGGTACAATGTATGGCAAACTACATAAGGAGAGTAACAACAATAAAATAAGTGTGTTGAATAAGACCTAAAACCTTGAAAACCTAAAATATCTATATCATAATTATTTAAATAATAAGGGATATCACAAGTCTTTGATAAAGTGTTACAATCGAGTGGGCTAATCACAGGTTTCGGTATTTTTACCTTCGCCAAGAAGGTTATGTTTTCAGTAGCGTTTGTCTGTGTGTGTGTATGTATGTATGTGGGTTTGTGTGTGTGTGGTTTAGCAAGATAACTCGAGAAGCAGTAAATGGATTGGAATGAAACTTGGTAGGTGGGTAGGTCTTCATGAGACCTAGAAATGATTAGATTTTGGGCCCCCTGGCGGCTTTCCTAGGTACTGCAGCTGAACTTCCGGTTTTGATATCTCATGTTCTGGACATGCTAGGGTCACGAATTTTGGTTGGTAGACAGCTCTTGTGGTAGGGAAGAAGTGACGTGAGTTTGGGTCTCCTAGCGCCTTGTTCTGGAACTGCAGGAGCATTTGTTGAAAAAAATTTGAAGGACGATAACTCAAGAACCGGTTGACGTATTGTCGTGATTTTTGGTATGTAAGTATTATAAGTGATGCTTGACATGATCAGATGGCAATTATGCAAATCAGGCGCTAATTTGCATAATTAATGAGGAAATTCTATAACTCTGCTTTGTTCGATAATAGAACTATGAAACACTTGTGACATCTACTTGAGAACGAGAAAAACATCTGAGGATATATATTATGTAAATGAGGACCTAATTTGCAAAGTTAATGGAAAATTCTTATAATTTCATAGTTGTAACTGCTGCACCCCGAATTTCATACTTGCCACATTTGGAAGTTAAGTGAAGGTGAACATCAACAAACATAATAACATCAACAAACATAATTTATTCAAATCATGACCTCATTTGCATAATTTATGAGGAAGTGCTAAAATAGCCTTTTTGTTATGATAAGGCTGTCATTGGATGAAGAATATGATCAACTGACATAGTCCATGCAAATGAGGCTCTTATTTACAAAATCAATGATTAAAATTGTATAATTCGTCACCCGCAAGGGTTAACCTCATTTGGCGAAGGTATGAGATTGTGGAACTCTTGTTTCTAATAGCAAAGCATTCATTTATATATCTACCTATTTTTGCGTTGTGGGGACCATTACATGTAAAGATATATTCAAATCTGTCTCCAACATCGAGACTCATGTGTGCCAATAGTTTGAATACAGGAGATTAACAGGGAGTGAGGGGCGAGATGGAGGTCAGTATAGTCTCCCTGCAGGGTGGTAGGAAGTGACTGTGCATGGTAGAATGTGCGCTAAAGTAGCCACAAATTTACAAAGGTAACTTAACAAACTCACAACATTCCTGATACTTAACAGAGGTTTGAAACTTTCGATTTTTGTTTAGAAATGTAGTATTATTTGACGCTCAGACCGGTTTTTTTTTTTGTCATCTCGTTACGGACGGGCGGATAGTCTTGAGGTCCGTCCCTGTAACCTATAAACTACTTATCATATGACTACCAAATACTCAGATATTATAGTAAGCATGTCACACTTTCTCGTTTCGCCATTGGAACGTGGGTTCGGTAGAAATAATCTTTCAAACGATTTTCAACAATAAAGCGTTCGCACACTTTAAATAGAATGGTGGTATCCGTTATCTATGGCATTTTTTCTATCATACTGTGGTAGTTTTATTTAAAAATACGCAATTAACAGTGAGTGAAAATTCGATCAACTTTGGGAAACGGCCGAAAAAACGCTATCTTACGGCGCCGCTTCAGCGGCACCGTTTTTTTGCGTCGCCCAGGCGGACGCGCCAAAGTTCGACTCAAAAGCCAACTCACTTCCCGGTCGAGGAGAGTTCTGGGAATCAGGTCATGTGAAAGGGCAAAGTTCAAGGTTGACGCCTGTGATTGTGGAATTCTTCTAGAAAATCTCAACTTTCTCCAATTTTTATGCGGAAGCATTCTGACCGGAAAAATCTACTCTATAACATTAAATCATTTTTAATGATCCTTGGCGCCTCCCTAATTATAGTACTGTAGTAGATAGAATCAAACAAGACCAACTTAAATGTCATTATGACGTAACATGGCGTCATTATGACATAATAATTAATATATGTTATTTCAATGGCTAAAACCGTCAAAAAAGGCAATTCCAGTAAATTACAAAGTAGTACAAAATACATGAACGGAATTTCAGCTGCAGTACCACGGTGAGCCACTATGAACCTTACCTTTCTAACATCATCAGAATCCATAAAGGAATATGTGGATAAACCGGCACAGACACACACAGGCAAAAACAATACAATTCATGTAGGTAACAATCGTATCCACACAGATGCCTCTTGTCACTAAAGGACTGTCAACTGCATCACGCACAGAAAACAGTCTTGCCTTCCACCCTCCATTTTCGCGTGCAGACTACCACTTAAACTCATTCTTTCCAAGAACAGTCAGAGACTGGAACAAACTTCCAGAACACATACTTAAAGCCAAGACCCTACAGGCATTCAAAAATGACCTAAATAACCTGTAGTCTCCCATTCACAGTACGGGTACTCACCGCTAACCACTTGCAGGGTGGCGGACAGGGAGTAGCGCCCCTGCCCATTGAGGAGCTGGGTCCCTCCTTTTACTTACCCCCATACAAACCTTACAATAACGCGACCAACCCTCCCCCCCGTCGTGTCATGAGTCTTCGACCTAACGAAGTTTCGACACGTAAACTGAAGAAGAAGAAGAACAATATATTTCACCCATACCTATGGTATGGAGT